ATGTTTCAGCCTACATTCACTTCCAGGGGCGTGGGGATTCTCTGCCTTTCCCAAAAACCTAACTGGTACCCAGAGAGTGGTATTTGTACTCTAGAAGGGACCCTAGGGCATAAGAATGTGACTCAGGGACCTCCCAGGGCTTTCTGATCATCTAACTGGGTAGCTTTCCCTTGTCACTAATAAAATCTTTAAATTTTAATTAAAAATTAAATTTTAAACAGGCACCTATGATTTATTATTACCTCCAAAAATCTCACAGCTCATTCTTTTAAAAGAAACATTTCCAAAGGTTGGGGTGAGCTGACCTTGAAGCACACTGCATGTGTGTTGTACTGAGGTTAACTGATAGTGATGGTTAAGAGCACATTCCATGCCTGCCCACAGGTGTAGACTTCTACCCTGGAAAATGATGTCCATATCAAGAATTGGGCATGTGCGTGTTTTCATGCACACTGGCCCTTGGTTCCAGGCCTCATTTTCAGCAGGATGTCAACTAGCTCTGAGTGTCATGGTTCCTGTGTTCCTGGACCAAAAGAAGCCTTGTAGCCTCCAATGGGCCATCATCAGTTTGTCTCTTAGTCACCCTTACTATCAGGCATGGTAAGGACATGCTGGACATGCTCTGCTGAGTACAGAAGACAGGCAGAAGAAAACAGTCCTCTCAGGGGAGATTCCATGCTCAGTTCAAGTCCCAACCTCGTTCCCAGTAATAGAAAAATGTTCTGGAGATGGTGGGGGCATATGGGTGGAGCCCACATGATGAGAGTTTTGTTCTTGTTTAAAAGCTCCTTCCACTAAGTGAGGACACAGAGAAGGTGGTATTTGTGAACAAGAAAGCCTCAGACACCAGAAGCAAGATATGCTGGACCTAGGACTTGAAGCTCCCAGGACTATGAACTGACCTGTTCTCAAACCCAGCTCCATGCTGGTGTCCACCTGGCGTCCTCTGGTGACTCACTCTGGAATAGCATCTCAGGGCCCTCTCCCCAGTGTCTAATTATGCTGATTTTTTTTTCTGCTTTGGGCCCTTTTTCTCTCTTCCTGCATTCATAGATTGTTTTAGGGAACAGGCCCATAACTGCTCGCCTCAATGCAGGGCCAGCTCATTCAGTTAGCTTAGGATCTGAGCTGCCAGAGTGCCTTAGAAAGCTCAGCCCAGCGATATCCCAGATGGGGTAAACTTATTGTCAAGCAACCATTTCCAGTGTTTTCCTAATGGAAGAAGAGTTGTACACTTGCTTAGAGATTACATTGAACTATGTGTTTCTGTTTATTTGGTAATTCTAATTCCATGGACAGATAGGACACAGTAACTTTAATTCCACGACAGACAGGCACACTCAAAACAAAGCAAAGGTAAAGTAAGCCACCTGCTATTGTGGGTTGGTTAAGTTGTGTGAACAAGCTTGTGTGGAAGCAGACTTTCAAATGACTCTGAGGAACGTTTGGGACTGGGCACTGCACCTGAGGGGCATTGAATCTCAGAGTTTCTACTTTGAGACCTCTACAGAGGTCTCTACTCTTCCTGATGCAGACAGAATTCATTTCTCCCTGATTCCTGCTCAGTGTTACAATCTGTGTAATGATTAGGTTGGGTTAGGTTGCTCACCTCTTTGCTCCTTCTGACTTTCTGAAATGGTTTTTCAGTGTAACTAACTCAGCAGCATCAGCAAAGCATGCCTGGCATTGGACTTTGTGGGGAGACTGAACAGCAGAGTTCTGTGTGCTGCCTGCTGCTCTTAGCTCACAGTTACCCACACTCAGTCCTTCTCACAGCATCTGATAGGCTTCTCTGGCTTCCTGATGATACAAGGATTGCTCTTAGAGGGTGAAAATTATGCGCTATTGTTTCTCTCAAAGACAAAATTATTCTTCATTAGACTGTGTTTTGTTACATGGATACAGACGGGAATATTAGGAGTAAGATGAGTGCATCACCTGCAGTGGTGAAAGTGTTTCCTTTTAATCACGGGAAGTATTTTCTCCTGAGAAACTTGAAAAACTCTGAGTATATTTTGGTAACACCTCCCTTTCTCTTCTCCTCCTCCTTCTCTCTTCTCCTCCCCTACTCTCTCTCTTCCTTGAGCCAGGGTCTCATGTATTCCAGGGTGCCCTTGAATTTGTTACGTAGCCAAGGATGTAACCCGTTATCCTCCAATCTCCAACTCCAAATTGCTGAGACTGCAGGCCTGTGCCACCACACGCAACATTCGACAGCACTTCCTGCACTAAGTTTCTTTTTCAGTGTTAACATATTAATTTAAAACACATTAGTAAACTATGTTCAGTGGACCTCATGCTGTGGAAATAACCTATCTAAACCTGTCCTGAGAAACTCAACCTCAGACACAAGGCTGGGGGTGGGGACATCACAGCAGGAGCTAGGGGTGGGGTTGGGGACTGTTCTTCCACTGCTGTCCCATACGGTGTCTCCTCATAATCTCACTGTAGTCACACATCTCGTCAGCCGAACAGAACTACAGGAAACTCAGTCTTTCACTGACGAAGGTTTCAGAAGTGGGGGAGATGGTTCTGTTGGTAAAGTGTTTGCCACACAATCACAAAGACCCGAATTAAGATACTCAGCAACCACGCAAAGTCAGTGTAAGCTACCTAGCACTGGGAGAGTAGAGACAGGTGGATTCTCAGAGCTTACTGCCCGCCAGCCTAGCTGGATTAGTGAGTTCCAGCCTAGAGAAAGTCCTTGTCCCAAAAAATAAGGCAGAGAGAGACAACTCTCTGATAATCAGATATCAGATATCAAACATCAACCTCTGGCCTCTATACACAGTACACAGACATATATGTATACCTGCATGCACGCATGCACACACCTGTGTGAACACGCACAAACATGAACCACATGAGAGAGAGAGAGAGAGAGAGAGAGAGAGAGAGAGAGAGAGAGAGAGAGAGAAAAGAGATATTGAGGCTTTATTCTAACTCCAAAATCACCTAAAGGTCTAACTATCCCCCCCCCCCATTTCATATAAGCTACAGCAGATGTAGATGTAGCTGGGGACATTATCTCTGAGATGAGCAGGGTTATGTGAGGCATCATCCCTGTCCCTTTCCCTTATCCATAGTAAGTTCTGGGCTGCACCTGCAGAAGCCTCCAAAGCCCAGGAGGTGCCCTTGGTTCTTGCTTCACTTCAGTTAAAACCTCAGCCTTTTTCTGCCTATTCCCTGCTTGTATCCCAAGAGAAGCCCAGGTAGTCTGAGATCTATGAAGCCTCAGGGTTGGGCTGCAAGTTCGTACATTTGAGTTTGTTGAGATATATTCACACACCTTCCAAACATTGCTATGTATGTATGTATGTATGTATGTATGTATGTAAGAGTTCTCATTCTTTTCCTAAAAGTATCCTCATAGAGTATTTAAATTTTCAGCATTATTCACCCAGTATTCATCCCTCTGGCCTCTGTAAATTTTAGATCTTTCTCTTTTCTAACAACTAGGATGGAAACCCACATAATCCAAAGGCCACAAAGAGGTTAACATTCATTTCAACTCACTACACATGCATTCACACTCATCTCATAATGAGGCATTCACTCCTTTATCAACACAGCTGACTTACAGTTGACTGACTGATGGTTGAAAGATAAGAAATTATACCTTTAAATCCCACAGTACCACCTGCTGAGGGGCATCTCAGATGCCAGGCAAACATGTGCTGCTCTTTCAGCTGGTGTTCTAGGCAACAACAGTGCCTCAAGTATACTCTGGATCTAAGTCCTTGGGGCCCTGTGACTCCCAGGCTGAAGATGTGATAGTGACAGGACCCTGCCATGGGTGCCCCATCAATGGACAGACCAGGGGGAAGAAAAAATCTTGACATGAAAGTGATATAAGTCACTCTCTGCCTGATTCTCCCCACTCAGAGCACAGGACTGAGCTCATAGTGGAGTGGCAGGATGCATCCTCTCCAGCCAGCCCAGTGTGCCAAGAGTCTTATCTCCCCACTTCCAACTCACCACAGGAGTCCACAGCCTATCCCAACCTGGGGCTTCACAGGCTGCCCCATCTCCAAAGCTTCACACCCTTCCTCCAGCTCAAGGCTCCTCAGCTTTCCCCCCAAAATCAAGGTTTCACAGTACAATCCCTGCAGCTATCACCACAAACCTCCATAGTTTGCCCTCACCTCAGGACTTCATAGCTCGCCTGCCCACACTCAGGAACCCAGAGCCTGAATGTCCCATCTCAGAAACCCATAGCTTCCTACTTTCCTTCAGGGCTGTACATCTTGAATGGTCCACAGCCTGCCCAGTATGTGCATATCCCACTGACCTTGGCCAATTCTCCACATAGAAGAGTCAAGCAATTCTTCACAATCTCTCTTCTACTTAGAAAGCAGTTCTGAAACACTCTTTTGTGGATTGAGACAAGGAAAAGATAAAAATAGACCCTAAACCTTCACATATAACAATATCAGGTAGGTTGTGTTACTCAGGTTAATTTCCTAAGAAAGAAATGCAAGGGAAGAGGTGACATTCTAAACAGTGTGTGTGTGTTCCACATACAAGTCTTTCAATGTGCTAAACTTATACTTTCATTTGCCCGTAGTCTGTATTAAAACTAGTTTGTTGATGATATATTTATGTAAAAACATGAAGGAAGTCTACCTATTAATTATAAGAAGATACCTCAGTGTGGTGCTTTTGAAAGGCACAGGGGACTTTTTTTTTACATTCACTACTATAGACATTCCATCAGACAGTTTGCAAAACTCTTCTATTAAATTTCGGCTTCTAGAGCATTTTAAAGTATTGATTTCCTGCTACTGTTTGCTAAGCAGCTTGTGGATTTTGATAGAATTAAGTACTTTGTTTCATCTGTCACAATTTCAGGACATAAACTCTCAGTGAAAAAACATCAGCCCCGGGTTTGTTAGGTTGATTTCCAACTTTGGGATGAACTTGTCTCCTTCTCATGCTATGTTTTTACCAGCTGACCCCTCTCCTTATTTGTCTTTGGGTGCAGGATATGCAAGCTTTACCTTTGTTTCGATCTGTTTGGTGTCCAGGTTCTGAAACAGCAGCTTTACTCTAGTTTTCCCATCATCTGAAGATCCCTTAAGCTGAGAGAACTTGAATCTCCAGAGCACGTTCTGCAGAGAAATGAAATGAATGAGTGATTCATAAGCATTTACTTTATTATCACTTAATTAATATCTAATAAATGAAAGCACCTGCCAGGGTAAATGCCATTTGTTTTGACATGTCCACCCTCAGTGTATAGAGGATGATCACCACGCCCAGCCAGCTCAGGGTCACACACTAGCCTCTCTAGACTTCACCCTGCTTTTATCTTTGGGGTCTTCCTGTACTTACCCTGGAAGTTTTCTAAGACCATTGCTTCCTTCTTCACTTGCAGAACTATAAAGTCCACTGAAGGCAGGCCTCTTACCCAGTAGGATACCTGCCACAGTACAGTTAACATAGAAAGCTTGGATCCTGGCTATATCATCCCACCATGGCTATGCACTGTCATTCAGCCTCAGGTTCCGGATAATCAACAGGAAAACATGGGCAGCACAGCCTTACACTACTGCTTCAAGTTTGCTTAGCACTTGCTGAGATGCTTCAGAGGCAAATGTCATCTCAGCTCTCAGAAGGCTGAGACAGGAGGATAACCACAAGTCTGAAGCTAGACTGGTTCACATAACCAGAAAGGGCTCCATAGGGAGAACCTGCCTCACAAAACATGAAAACACAATCCTTATCTTCCCGGTAAAATACCAATGGGAATTAGCATTTAGCATCCTGCAGGTCAGGATTTTATTGCAAACACTTATTTTTAAGTAATGAATAAAGAAACATTGATTTCTAAATGGCCAACAAAGCATTTTCAATGTCAGCCGGACAAGGAGGAGGGGGATGGAAAGTCTCAAGATGCTTTTGTCCCTCCAGATGGCAAGCTGTATGCCACACCGTCCACAACAGCCTCACGATTCCATTCCTCATGATATGTTTCATACTGAATTGAGGACATGGATCAAGGGAAAAGTCTCAAAGTCCACGTTCCTTCTATATTTCAAGACAGCTGGAATCCACAGTATCCTGGGAACCACTCATTCCATCCTTGCCTTTCCTTGGTGCTAAGGCTGAGCCTCTGCCTGTTCTGGTAGATCCAGGTACACAGGTGTTTTCAGAGAAAAATTACCAGAGTCTTTCCAGATTGAGAACTTGAGAAATCTCACCCTAGTCACTGCACAAGACTGCCAGTTTTATCACACAGTCCTTGTTCGTGGGTGATGTAAGCCAATGTTGCTTTTCTGCTTCTCCTGGTTTGGGATGTGAATACATGGTGAATAGGGTAGTAAACAGGCCTATTCTCCTTTTTTCTTTTTTGACCCTCATGTCCTAAGCATGGTAATGCCATAAGCACCCTTGGATTGTTGACACTTATATAGCTAGTTGTCTTTAATGACTAAGAGTCCTTTGTTTCAAATTTCTCATGCTTTCTCTCATGAACTTAAAATGTAATTTTTTTCAAAGAAAACTATTTCTGAAAGCTGTGAGTGTTATTTCTGCCTGTGGTCTAAGTGAGCTACTTAATTTCTATACTCTGAGACCTTCTCAATATGTGACTGAGCCTCTGTACACCAGTCTGGGTATGCAAGCTGGGAACTCAGAGCCCAGATTGGCTGCTTGGAGAGCAGGCAATAACAGTGCTCTCTTTAGTTAAAAACATCAGGAGATGAATATGAAAGGGCATTGGGTTTCCCACTGGAGTAATAAAGGCTGAAGGGCATCTCAACACTCAACTCTCAATCACAGAGCTGAAAGGCATCTTTGTGTGGTTTTAGCAACTGAAGCACAGGTCTCCAGTTACATGACATACATATATTAAACACAAGACCTTTCCCTTTGCTTTCATCATTGCCAGTTTTGCTGACAGCCACTTCTCACTCCTTCAAAACTACTTTGGGTTTTAAGGCCTTGCAGGTGAAAAGTGACACCAATACTCTCTTTAGGGTGCCTGGTGGCATCCACAGGGGCCATGAGACTGGAATGGTGATGTTTTGTTCCTAGCAGAGTGACCATATCTTCCCTTCTACCAGACAATCATGTCCTTTTTCTTTTGAATTTGGTCTCTCTGTGCCTCCACTTCCTCCAGCCTGGGGTTCAGGCTTCATCGGCACCAGCACAGCATTGGGCAAACAGGAGATCTGCACTGAGCAAACTGGAGTATTGCTGCTGTGATCGAGGAGCATCCACGAGGCAAGAAAAACAGAATTCCACCATTCCAGGAGTTCTCCAGTTAATGGCACCAGAAATATTTGCCTCCTCTGATCCTGAGTGGCAGAAAATTCCCAAGTGTGGCTTCTTTCAGAGCGGGAAAAGAATCTGGGTGTTGTTGGAAATCTGAGTGACACAAACCCTGGAGTCCTAGGCTGTGTTGCTGCTGTGATCCCACTAGAGACAAGGCTGGGTGTTCAGACCGTTGACAATAGCTGGTGAAGGCAGCTCTCCTTATCGGCTTTGGGTATCTGGCTGCTCTTTATCCCACACGTGTGTGTCAGGAACTCAGTCTCTTCACTTCCAGCTCTTCTCCTGCTTCCGTGTACCATGACAAGACCAGAATGTCAGTTAGTATCAAGCCCCAGAGCAAAAGAAAGCTGTGATGACCAGTGTTCTAACCCCAGCTAGCCCATCAGGGCTAGGGCTAGGGCCATTTATCTAGAATGGTGTTCTGGTTTATCCTCACTTGGATGATTTTGAAATGCCCTTCTAGAAACAAGCAAAAGTGTGCTAGACTATGGTCTTCTCACTTAGTATCTAGGTCCAAGCATGTTTCCTGCCCTTCCTAATTATTCCTTATATTAATGAAATAGATAGCTAATAAGAATGGATTGTTGCTTGGAGACAACTGTTTGTCTCTCTCTGGTAAAAGAAAGGTAGGGATGACACAATTGAACCATTAGTGTATGAGGCATGACTGTGGATAGCCACTAAAGCAGGAGCAGTTATCCAGAATTCTAGCACAGTGTGTATGTGTGTGTGTGTGTGTGTGTGTGTGTGTGTGTGTGTGTGTGTGTAGGTACATGTGTCTATGCTGGGATATGCATGTGTGTACTTGTGCATGTGGAAACCAGAGGGTTAACCACAGTTGTTCCTCAGGTGCATTCCACCTTATTTTTAGAGATAGGCCTGTCATTGATCAATAAGCCCCTGGTATTTACCTGCCTTTGCATCCTCTGGCTTCCTTATGTGGGTTCTGGGGCTGGATTCCATGCTTGCAAGGCAAGCACCTTATTAACTGAGCCATCTCCTAAGCGCCAGTGAGTCTCAGTTTTACACACCCAAATCTCAACATGTCTAGCCCACAGATCTATTATGGTTTTCTCCACAGTGACTTGGACAAAAGGCACAACTATCCATAAATATTTCATGCTTGGTTGTTATTTATATTCCACAATTATTTCGGAGTTTACAGCAATAATATAAATCTCCTTACATGGAGTTTACAAATGCTTTACTTGTTTAGGGAATGAAGACTTGTAATTAAGGCCAAGAGGGGAGTGTTCCATGGACTCAGGACCTTGTTTACCTATCACAGCTATGTTGGGGAAACTTTCTCAGTATGGAACTTACTGAAGAGGTCACCATGAAAATGATGCAAGGCCAGGAAGTGAGAGCTCACCTTTAAAAAGGCATAGTCAGGAGGTTGTGGCCCAAGCTCAGCAAAAATCATCTTAAGTAGATCTTCAGGAAAACTTGTCAGATACTGGATGAGGCAGTGATCCAGCGATTGGGTGTGAAGCTCACAGGGAGACACTGGATGAGGCTGTGATCAGGTGTGAGGCTCACAGTAGTGGTGGAAAGCTGTCTCCCAGAAGCAGAGAATCTGGGAGAACTGAATTTAGAAAAGGATCTGCTGGGTCTCCATGGGAAACCACAGACCAACTCTATCATTATCCAGAGCTGCTGTGGGATGTTCTCTATGCTGTGAATGTGTTGCTCTGTTTGGTTAATAAATAAAGTGCTGATTGGTCAGTAGCCAGGCAGGAAGTATAGGCGGGACAAAGAGAGAGGAGAATTCTGGGAACTGGAAGGCTGAGTCAGGAGACGCTGTCAGCCTCCGCTGCCGTGAGTAGCAACATGTAAGATGCCGTTAAGCCACGAGCCATGTGGCAAGGTATAGATTTATATAAATGGGTTAATTTAAGATGTAAGAACTAGATAGGAAGAATCCTGAGACATTAGGCCAAACAGTTTAGATAATATAAGCGTCTGTGTGTTTATTTTATAAGTGGGCTGTGGGACTACAGGGGCTTGGCGGACCCAGAGAGAAACTCTCTAGCTACACAGAGCATTCTGGGTAAGGGGCAGTCACTTTGTCTAGCCCAAGGAAGCATTAAAGGACTGACATAAATTCTAATGTTTAATGGCCAAAGTTTGGATTGATTAGATCATCTAATCTAATCAAAGGTCAAACTCAGGAACAACTGAGTTTAACCCTCTGCCCTCCACATGCATAAACATACATAGTCACTGGGGAGTCCAGTTCCCAAGGGCTCATAGCAGTCATGTACAGCATTAAGAAACAAATGATACCATTGAAAAACTTGGTTATGTTAATTTTAAGGGAAAGATGCTAGATTTAATGGTAAGAAGAATCCCTCAGAGTACCATTTGAGACTTGCCTTGGAAATCAGGAACATTGCCTGAGGAAAAGGAGGGCAGGAAGCAGGCAGGGATTCAAAAGTGAAGGAAGGTGGCTGATGTATGACTTAGTTGATAATGTAACATCATCAGTTATAGCTATCCACAAGTACAGTACTCAGCATCCCAGAGAACCCAGCCCTTACCCAAGAGGGAAAGTTTGTCCACCATGGGATCAACCTCCACACAGGAGCAAGGGCCATGTAACCACGAGGCTAAACCCTCTGATTGGGTTTTAGCTCAGAACTTCCCACAGACCCTTACAGAAACAGGAAGGGAGCTGCAAAGTACTAGACCCTTCCTTCCAGGTCACCAGGAACCAGAGTTCACATCAAGACTTCCTGGCAGTGTTGCCTAGTCCTGGCTGCTCATTGGACAGTGGGTAGACATGGTAATAGCCTCTTGTACAGTCACAAAAGACCTTCTTCAGACTCTTGTATGGACTCTTGTATGGACTGTGGTAATCTCTGTACTGACAGGAAGCCTAGGTGAGTATGAGTAAGCCAAAGACAGAAGCACAAGTGAACCTCTGTAGGATCTCCAGCAGGCAGCAGGACTTGTGTGCTATGTTTTACTCTTCCTTGGTAAGGGCCTTGGCCAGGATATATTCCAGGATGTTGCCAAGTACAGCAGAGAAGACACAGAGAGACTCCTACAGGCTCTGTAGAGGTAGACCATGCAAAGTTGCCCTTAAGGTAGAATCCAGAAGGTCTCAGATTTGGTATCCTGAAGTGCAAGGCTGTGCAACAGAGAAGCAGCAGATACTACATGGTGTTCACTTTCCTCCAGGGTAGATGCTGTAACATCACACTCATCCCAGAAGATCACGTGCAGCAAGAGTATTCAGGTCTGGCTTCCTGCTCATATTACTAGCAAGTACAGGTCCTGTGCCTGTCTGTACATACCATGGTCAACAGAAAGGTACAATGAGAATAACCCTTGACAAGGGTCACAAAGTCATTTGCTAACTGTGGGCTATAAGCATGGATGGCCTTTAATGTTGGATGTAGAATTAAAATCCATTTTTGATATTAAATTTTTATGCAATTGTATTTTGTTATTACTACAATCACTGTGTGAGTCCATAGTGGGAAACATCATGATAATTTCCCTGCAGAAAGTGAAATGAATGTTTTCAGGAGCCAGGATTGTGTGACAGAAGCAGTTTCCATCTCTGCCTCAGGATTTTTCCACCTCTGCATACAGAGTGCTTGGATACTATAATTCTTTATGGTACTCTCCTGTTCATGGCAAGTGCTGAGCAGGCCTCCAACATGAGCATTCCAGATGTGGCAGATAGTCCCTTCCTGGCAATGAAAAACCTTCTTCAGACAACTCCATGTGTCCCCTAGAGGGCAGACTTGTCCTGGCTGAAATCTCTGTTCTGGCAGAAGGAACAGAATTGGAAGACTTCTAGACAAAGTCACTGTCTGTAAGTACTTACCAACTGGTTGCAGAGACTGGGTCACAGAAGAGAGTAAGTAGCCCAAGAGGCTTAGATAGGGCAGCTTGGAGATAACTATGAGAAGAAAATGACTGCTGGTTTTTTAGGAACCTTCCATGATGCTTCATTTCTTCACTGTGAGCTCTGGGAACAGTGAAAGGCCGAAACTGAGCTTGCACAATGTATGTGAAAAGCAGGTTTCTGGAACTCTGATTATTGTTAGTGATGGTAATGAAGACAGGATCTAGTAGAATCATGTATATGGGTGAGCTCAAGCATGAGCCCTCAAAGACCAGACCAGAAGGGCATCACTCATGTCAAGTGGCACATCCACAAACTGAAGCTTTACACAACAGGAAAATCCCCAACAGTCCAGATTTTCCTAAGTCCAGATTGGCTTCTGCTTGGAGGGACTCAGATAGCCTGAGTGGACAATAAAGACGTCTTTTCTGCTTTGTTCTGCAAGAGAAGCTACAGGAAGCAGCTCCCTATGAGCCCTTGCATGAGGCCCCTTGATCCTGCTCAAGCTTTCCACAGAAACCATTCTTCCGCTCTGTGAGTCTGCAGTGTGCTGCCATGCTTTGCCCTTGCTAATGAAAGCCTGTGACATCTCTAAACTAAATACACTGGCAACCTCTTTTCATAGCAGCATTCATCATAGGCATGCTTTTCCAATCTCCATTCATTCTTAATAAAAAAAACCCAGATTTTTATAAATATTATGTGCTAAGACATTGGCCCTTCACTTTGGCAAACATTTTTCTTATCACTTATGTAATTAGGAGAGCCCTTAGATGATGGTGGAAATAATCCAGTGAGTTCCACTACTCACACAGGTGGTTTTAATCAATGATGCTGGAATTGAGGGTAGCTTTCTATTTGTGGATGTATTTTACCAACCTGTAGAGCTTATTCTTACCAAAACTACTCTGGTTTTAAGCAATGGTTGGGATTCTTTTCACTGTGTCTTAGTGTTGTGTGTTTTTTCCTTCAGAGGGATCAAGAGAATCCCATCCTATGCTTTCCTCTCTCTCCTTCCCCACCTCTGTCTTCCTCCCTCCCTCCTCTCCCTCCCCCTCTCTCTTTGTGAATCATACTTGCCAAACACCATTTTGCTGGAGTTTTGCTGCGTGGGCTCTAGGGACTGTGAACACTCAGGGACCCCAAACCAGCAATAAGGAAGGCAGGTTATTTAGGCAGACCTTTGGCTCAGTGCACATCTGGTGGGCGCTGTCTGCTCTCAGACACCTCTGAGCAAGTGCAACGTAGCATGTATAGTGTCTACAGGGGGTCCCTACATCTTACCTTTGTTTTACTGTCAAAGCAGGTAAATCCCAGAGCAAAATCCACCGTGAAGCACAGCATTTCTCCTTGCCAGCTGCACAGATATGTTTTTGACTAGAAAAGAGTATTAATTTTGAGTAAGCACTCTACAATAGTTCTGGTTAACTAAAGGAAGGTAGTTGGCACATTAGCTACTTTAGCCGAAGTATGATGTTTTAAGTCTAAACACACAACTTATGTAGAATATATTAGAAGGTTTGGGGGTTGCAGGGAACTGTAGAGACACCAATAGGCAGGGAGATCTTCATTGTTTTCTGTATTTAGACAGACAAGGATGTCTTTAAAGGCATCAACTAAACAAAGCCAAATCATTAAAACATTTCAACAAGTATCTGTTCCCCAAGGTACCTCTAAAAACACTCACTGGAGTAGTCTAGAGCATAGAAAGAAACAGTCCTAAAATTGGAAAACTTCTTTTTGTCAACTTCAGCAATCAGTTTTCAGCTTAAGTTGCCCCAGTAAGCACAAGATCTGAAGCCATCATTTGAGTGGGCAAAATCTGGGCGCTTTTCATGTGATAGGGATGAAGGTGTTGCTTAGGGATGACGATGAAGGGGGCAGGACTTGATTTTCTGGCTTTCTGATGTGTGTGTGTGTGTGTGTGTGTGTGTGTGTGTGTGTGTGTGTGTGTCCACACGTCCAACACAGGGAAGTCAGGAGGAGCTCATCTCACATTTCCACAGATCCTTATCACTACACACAGGGTGCCTTGTACATTGTCTGCCCCGATACTGCTTCTGTCATCTATCTCTTTTTATACTATATTTTTTCCTAGTAACTAGACAAATGTCCTGAATATCATTGAAATGTATCAAAGATCCCCGTTGTGACCGTCACCACATCTTGTCTCCATTCTCTCCTTTACCTCTCATAGGAAGACAGAGAGCAGGCCCACAAAGTGAGGACCCTATACAACATGACTTGACGACCCTTCCTTCTTTCCAGCCTTCAGTCAGCTTCCTAATGTTGGCAGGTATCCATAGCTGCTCACCAAAATCATGCACAAAGCAGATGCCCACTGCATACTATGCAAACCACTAGTGTTTCGATGCTGGTGGGAACTGGAAGCTCCAAGCGGTTCCCCATGCTCACCTTTTCTAACTTGACCTAGATCATAAGACACGCTGACATTCCTTCTGCAAGTCCATGACAATTTAGGCTTTCATAGTTTAGGACTTGCTAAATTTCTAGAATTTAAATGTAGTGATTATAAACTATGAGAAAACATTTCTAGGGAATCATTATATTCTTGTAGCCCAAATCTCTGACGTCATGAAAGCAGTGGAAACTGTAAACCCCAGTGGACAGTGCCTGATCTTCAGAGGGCAGGAGAGCACTGTTGCAGAATGCTACACACTCCTGTGCTTAGCCAGCCCCTCAAAGGACAGAGGAAAGAGGTAGAAAGTTTGTGCAGAGGCTCAGCCCTACAGAATCTCACAGCAGAGTCAGTCAGTGGCTGCTAAATACACAGCCTCTTCCCAAATCTTCAGAATCTGGCACGGTGTGTGTATTTGTGTGTGTGTGTGTGTGTGTGTGTGTGTGTGTGTGTGTGTGTGTGTGTGTGATATCAGTATTCCCATTGTTGTATATATTTACTCCTTCTTTTCCTTAATATTTTGGAAAAAAAAAACCTGTTTCCAGTTCGCTAAGAGGAGTCTGCCTCATGGTCCATTCAGTGGGACAAAGGCGTCAGAGGAGTGGTCATAAACATGACCACTTTAAAGGCACCCGTGTGGACTGCTTACATTTTTAAAATAAAATCAGCAATTTAAACCTTTTAACGTAACTGATGGGGGGCATTTTCATGGCACATATTTGGAATTGCTCAAGATATGGAGGCTATAAGAATGACTTACTTAATGACTTTAGATTTACTGGTAAAAGCATGGATAAAAGTTGCACACAGAATGCCAGCTGCTGGGCAGAGGAGTAAGATGTGTCTTTTCTTGAGGGACTCTATCTAAAACATGTTATACAATGACCCACAAAACAGTGCTTAGTGGTTGACCATGGCATTGGACACCTAACAGAGCTTTGTGAATAAATTACTGTGCTCAGGAGAGAAGTACTAAATGCCTCCCACAACAACTGTTCAGACTTTAGAACAAGTTTCCAGAGCATTTTAGAACATATTATATGAAAATGTCAAAGAGGCCTTAATAATAGCTCCAAATACATGGCTGTGAAGGTCAGCTTCAGAACAAAAGCAAAGGCAACAAAAAAGAGCAACCAATGTTTAAGAAAAATATCAAAAACTTCAGGCACAGAATCACCTGGGGAGTTTAAAAAAAACAACAAAAAACCTAAGACAAAACCAAACGAGAATACTGGTGATCATAAAACGCCTTCTCAACTTTGTTCTGGATAAAGAGCCTTGTTGCCTAGAGATGGTGCAGAATCAACCCCAGAACAATTGCTCATGTCCAAGGAGGAAATTATGTTAAAAGAGTGAACAGTCAGTTGGGTTTAGCGCTGCTTGCCTGTAATGCCAGCTTTCAGGAAGCTGCGGCAGAAAGACTGGTAGTATGGGCTAGCCTGGCCTACATAGTCAGACCCTGTGAAAACAATAAAGATGATGATGATGATGATGATGATGATGATGATGATGATGATAAAGACATCAAGCCAAGCAACTTGAAAAGGTCCTGGATGCCAACACAGAAAAGTGAGGAACAGGTCTGATCACATTCACTGTGGAGAGTTGGTTTGTATTCATGAGGAATGTGGTCACAGTGTCCTTTCTGGTGCTCTCTTTGTGCTTCCTACCCTTTCGTGCGTGTGCGTGTGCGTGTGCGTGTGTGTGTACATCTGTCTATCTCCATTTCCATCCTTCCTTCCTTCTCCCCTTGATTATGGGTAACTGTTTTCATTTTTTTTTCTAAATATTTGGTAGAAATCTCCAGGGGAGGCATCTGGTCCAAATATCCCTTTCTTGGGGAAGATGGTCTATTTCACCTTGATGGAGTTCCCCTTGATATTTGTCACCTACTCTATGTATGCAGAGCTCTGTCATGGTCTCTATCTTTCCTGATTCTGGCAATTTATGTCCTTTCCTCTTTCTTTCTTTCTTGTGAGCCTTTTTGCAGGCTTGTCAAAGTTAATGATATTTACAGAGACCCAGCTTTGTGATTTGCCTTAATGCTTCTCTGACACATTGATGACTTAGCCATTGTTGTCTTCAAGTATTTCAGTATGCTCCCATGATCTTTCAGTTATTGATTACTGTTTCCAATTTGGTTGGAGCACATACTTTGAATGGCTTCCATTCTTACCAGTTTGTTGTGGTTGTTTCACAGTCCTGGTATGGTTTATTTTGGCAAATGCCCCACAACCCTTCTAGATAACCTCCAGTAAGCTACTGTTCAGTGGGGTGCTCCATAAATGCCTCTTGTGCATTGCTGTTGGTTTGTTTCCCTTGGCTCCATCTTCTTTTACATCATATATTTTGCAGTTCTGTGTCTAGTGAACACATGCATCTTGGCTAAATCTCCTTGGCCAGGGAGTTGGTTGCTCATCCTCTCACAATACCTCCTGTGATAGCATTTTCTGCTTTGGAGTCTACTTAATTTGACAACAGCTACCCTTGCTTTCCCTTGACCTGAGCCACATGGTATAGCTTTTTCTGTCTTTTCACTTCGAACTGTGTGGTGATATTTGAGACAGCCTTTGTGCAGACATCCTATGGTTGAGTGGTACTTGCTGTCTGTAAGTCATTTCATCAGTGGCATACTCACACAGCTTCCAACTGATGGGATTTGTGATGTCATTACCTTCTGTTTGTTTCCTTTCTGCTTAATGTCAGGTTACTTGGAGGGAATGTCAGCCTTAATTTTTTTTTGTTTGAAGGGTTTGAGGTTTTGTTGTGGCTGTGCTCACCCCAGAGACTTAGAGAAGCCTCACCTGCTTCCACATGGTTTCTCCTCCTCACTGTTGCTCACTTGCTTTAAGCATTTTCTCTATGCATATTTGGACTCATCCTAGATAGTGGTATGGTTTTTTGCTTCAACCATGAATGTGACAATCTCTATCCCCCTTCCCCTTTTCCAGACACTTCTGGGTTCCAGCTTTTGTCATTTACTTTCTGTTTAGAGAAAGTCTCCATCTATTTCTTTTAGGTATATCTGCCAAAGGCAATTTATCTTAATTCCCCTTAATTAGGAAATGGCTTGAAAGACATTTTTCATTCTTGAAAGGTATTTTCAATGGCTATGGGATTCTGTAAGATAATGCCTTCTTTCTGGCACTTAAATACTGGAACCCTTACTTCTGCCATCATTGTTCATAAGAAATTTCATGTAATCTGGATTATTTTGTTCTGTAATCTTCTATTATTCATTTCTCACTGATTTCAAGATATTTTTATTTTTATTTGACTTTCTGAGCTTTAATAAATACAGCAAGTCTCGGTATGGGTTTCCCAGGGTGTTTCTGTTTTTAACCTACTCTCTTCTCAGATACACAGGCTTTTAGCTTTTAAAGTTTGAGCTGTACTCTCTTCAAGTATATTTGTCTTTCCTCTTGTCTGCTCTTGGGCCTCTAGTCACGGGCACTACACTTCAATCTGTGTCTTGGGTCTACTGTTCCTCCAATCTGTGTTCTCTCTGTTACTCACAGAGACAATTTTTGTTGACACAGATTTGGCCACAGATCTTCCCTCTGCCCTTATTTTACCTCTTTTCCTGAGCTTTTAATTCAGTGATAATAGTTTCCACATCTACATTTTTCATTTTCTTTATTTCTATTCTCTGTTGTGTTATATCTCTTTGTCAGTACTTACGATATTTCCATTTGTTAGAATATATTCATACTTGCTTTTTGAAGCATATATTTTAAAACCACAGCTGCCCTCAAATCTTTCCCAAATAAGTTTAACATTTCTGAATTTCACTGTTGGCACCTGAGGACTGTCTGGCAGTCTCTGAGATTTTCCTGGTTCTTGGCATGACAGGTCGTTTTCTTTTGCAATCTGGAGAGTTTTGTATTATGAGACTTCTGATCTTAGGCTAACATTCTGTTTTAAACAATCTTCTTGACATTGTTTCAGCAGGGGAGGG